AGTTTGAATATACATCTGATAACTTGGAATGGACGGAAAGCTGTTGGTTCATTCCCATATCTTTTTCTTAAATGATAGAGCAGCTGCTTACAAATACAAAATAAATAAGGTAAGATGGTTTTACTTGTAAAAAAAGATTCACTACTTCTTATTCTACTTAGTATTTAAGAAAAATGAATGTTTGACACGGTTGTTTATTTAATGTTGGTTTATTATATTTTTCATGCAACTGTGGAGACTGTTTCAATTTTAGTTTTTGTTTATACGGCTTTCAATTCCAGCTACATATATGTTTTCTTTCATTTCGATCGGATTGACTTTTGCATATTGTTTGCTACTTTGGAAGAAAAATCGGGATACGGACGCAGTTCTAGAGTTAGTACTAGTACATATCTTAGTATTATTATTAAACGGAATATCATCATGGTAGTAGTCTTTAATTAATGTACGTTAATATTATTCATATAAACACATGTTTGTTAGTTAAATCTATTAAATGTTCATCTGTTTGTCATATATTGGTAATACAAGTTCAGCTATAAAATTCAATATCATTGTAATTGATGATTAACCGTTACACTTAGCGATTGCAATGCAATGCAATCAGTTACGTTTGTTTTAGATTGGTTTTGACACAATATGCAGCTGAGTACAATGATAGTATCACAAATTTATACCTATTTAAACACTCTAGCTTAGAACTCACTAGACAGATGGTTGACCTGATTTTATTCGAGATTTTATAAATCAGTCCGTGCATTCACAATACGACATAACGATACACATAACTATAGCAACAACTACACGTACATGTTACGTGCAGATTTAGCCACTAAACGTAAAGATAAAACCACAGTGCGTCAATGAGAAACCACTTAACCAATGAAAAAATGCACATCGTAAAGAAATAAAGAAAATAAACATAAAACAAAACCCTTTGGACTTTCCATAGTTTTCAATTTAAGGATTTGTCAAATGTTTTTTTTTCAATATGACACATGTCAGTCTGCTATATAAAGCACCCTGATAGCAAAATGCAATATATATCGTGTTTTATGAAGTTCTATTTTTATTTATTCAAATTAAAACGTTAACAATTGCTTTCCTTACATTTTGATCCCTTGAAGTCCAAAATATATATAATATTATAAATCTATCAAAAACAGCCTTTAGAAGGAAATTAGTCAAAGTAGCCAATATTCATATGTTTTAATGTTATCAAACATATATTTATTAGGGCTTTAGTTTTCATTAAATTAATTCACAATAATTAGAATTCAATGAGGCCTTATTAAAGATATAAAGATATATGCCATAACCTTAACGAACAAGATGAGATGTTATAACTCAGGGGAAGACTCATTTTAAATTTTCTTGAAACTATTTGTGGTCAAATGTATCGATTTTAACATATATAAACATATATATGACAATAAAAGTGACATTGCTGTTAAATGGTTTACAGATTGTTTCATATATAACTCGTATTCATTTATCCAATGAAACAACATTATTTTGAAAGGCGACAACAATTAAGTACTATTTTGCAATTTCACAGGCCATACAGCGGCTTCTATCCTACACAATGTATTCCAGTATAACGCTTGGCTTTCAATGAATGCTTAGCAAGAGACATTTTGTTTTCAAATCACCTTGACTTGCTCATTTTAGGATTCATTCCGGTTTTTCAAAATGTCTGAATAAAGACAATGTACATTGGAGTTTTAATAGAATCTGCCTTTACTTTTTTTTCTTTCGACATTAGAATGGAAATATTCATCTGCCCATCAATTTCAGTTTCATACTTTTTTGTAATCAAAATAGATGAAAACTCATTAGGAGTTTTATTAAAAAATGTAAGCTTAAATTTGGAACTATGAATATATTTTGATATAAAAAGAGACTATTATAGAAATTGTTATGCGTAATAAGTGACATTTTGACGATGACAATAATAAAGCCCGTTTAGTGTACTTACAAAATGTTTCTATTTTTGAAAAATTGCAGTAATTAAAACATCGGTTTTACAATATGGCTATACATGTGTATCAAAGTTGTTTGTGTGTCCATTGCGATATATCAATGAAAAACTAGTATAAGATTGTTATTATTTACACAACTCTTCCAACTTTTCAACCCGTGATTTCAATGACTTTCATTAAAGATTTTTCGTGACGGAATCCTTCAGAGAATATACAATGTTTTGTTTTTCTTCGTATCGTTATTTTAATAGATGCCTATGTTCTGATAATGATATCAATTTAAATTGGCAAGGATAATCGATATACCTTCTCAAAAGCAATTTGTTAATCAAAAATAGCATTCAGCACGTTGCATGTCATATATTTTACAGAGATGGAAGCGTTTTGGATTATAGTTCTAGTTTACTTATTATATATTTTCGGTAAGTACAAACATAATTGTTGATGGTAAGGATTGCGGGGATGAAGCATAGTATTGTTTAACAAACGTTGCAACGTAACATAATTAGCTTTGAAATGCTTTAAGATATTAATTAGTTTTTTTTAAAGTCTGGATAATATCGTAGACAAAGTACATTTTGAAATTAGTTAAAAATGAAAATAACAATCTCTTTGAAATAATATTCTTATTGATAATTATCATAACAGAGAAAACATAATATAAATTCAGGTGTAAAGTATGATGTATGATTAATAGTGAAACAATATAGTTAGAATTTAAGAAAAAAAAGGCTTTCTTAAAAAAGTGCAACAATATAAAGGAATTTATTCGTTAGGTCTGAAATCAGCGAATAAATGAAATAGCTGTTTAAATGCGTATTTCTACTACCGATTTTAGAGACAAGTCTATGATATAAGCTTGATTTTGACAACATATTAGACAACTATCCACCAGAGACCTCCGGATGTGGATATAATCAACTAATTCGATCACCTTCACTGAATATAAGAACATTCGAATAGACTGTCACAATAAATTATCAAATTTTTCAAATTGATATTGTTGGTTAAGATTCAAGATTGCTACAAAATATTAGACCATCATACCACAAACAAAATTGGACGAATACGCGTGATAACTTTTAAAATATCTTAAGTACAAAAATCTATTCTTTAAATTATCAGACGATAGTCTTTAACTCGTTTATCTCTAATTCTGATTGAGTTCCATTGATAGATCCTCTAGAACAAGAAATTAAAGAAACAGTAGACACGGCTTTCTCCGCCTCAATTGTAGATTCATACCTCGAATTTGACATAATTGGTCATCTCTGTACCAGAATCTATGACAAACTAGACGATTTTAATTTTGAAATTATAAAGTCCCCCCCCCCCCCCCCCCACCTTAGCAGCATTTCCCAACTCATTTGGTATTCAAAAACTTGCAGCTGCTCCTCAAACTTTATAAAACGTCACCAGTGTCTGAGCCGAAAGTTGTTGAACCAGGGAGATGTCAAAGAAAGTCTCATCCTTTTTCTAAAATAGTTCATCGGAAGAAACCAAGACCTGTTGATAAATATTTCGTATCAACTTCACATATAATACATGATTGTCTTGAAGTATAGATTCGAGGTACTGACGTCCTTGTTTATCATCTTAACTACGTGTTAGAGTGTTCTTATATTTGTCTTTGTATATATATTTAACCTTTACTGTTAAGTCCATTTTGGGTAATATTCTTTTGGCGTGGCTAGGTATTTATACATCCCGCCATTGTGTTATTGTGCTATTGTCATTTTTGTATTCTTTGTCTTTCATTTTTGCTTATGCACTTTGTCGATAGTGTGTCTATATGCCATTTTGTTTTCTTTGTTGAAACAGTTATTTGTTTTTATAGTGATTAAGATTATGACACAATGTTGACTGCTCTACATCAATTTTTGACAAGTTTACCTATTACGTCTGTTTGTTTTGCTCACACATTGTTGTCAATATAATGAAATTCTATATGACTGTCATACAAGTGAGAAATTTAGCTAGCTATAATACCAGGTTTAATCCATCATTTTCTACATAAGGAAATATGTGTACCAAGTCAGGAATATGACAGTAGTTTTCCATTTGATGTGTTTGAGCTTTTGATTTTTCCGTTTGATAAAAGACCTTCCGTTTTGAATTTTCCTTGGAGTTCGGTATTTTTGCTTTTTTTTCTAGATCTCATTCCTTTTCCTTCATATCCATTGTGATGACAGTTCTGCTTGTCTACACACTTCTGAAATAAGCTTCTTCCTCTCTTCTCCTACCCCTCTCAAAGTACTGCAAGCTTGTCATACTGCATGTCCTCCAAATCCCATGCAACATACTTAAGTCGCAAAGCACCACGTCCTCTGTCCCCGCTGCTGGCAATCTTCTACAAGCTACTGGTATAATAAGAATAAGAACAATTTTGATAATAATAATATTTATAGGTTTCTTAATGAGGTACAATTTGATACCGCTTTACATCAATTTGAGTTATTTAATTTCAATGCAATAAAAGCAAGACTTCGGGAGATTATTATCACTTTTTACTAATAGATAGAATAAAGAGAGCTCAGATCAAGCGATATCGAATGCTCACGCCTTATGAAACCTATATGTTGAAAAAAAAATCCGCTACTCGTTGATTTAGACGTTTGCACATACTAGTATGACGTTATTTGTCTTGGTACAACTTTACCATGAGACATATTTAACTTATATATAAACTTTTTAAACGCTTCAGAATGTAATAACATTTGACAAAAAGAAAAGCGAGAGTATTTTGTATATTATTGAAGAAATGTAACTCTTCGTAGCTGTGGAGTCATCAAATACTTAACAAATAGCCAACAGTTGTGCCGCGATTTCATGATGTTTGATAAGCCAATCAAATTAACGCATTTTTCGCATCCAAGTAGTGGATACGAGAAATATGTATTCATGCAATAAATAGATAATAGGTCACAAACATAAGAGAATTTTGATTAAATATAAAAACGGGAAAAGTAATGAGGTGCATTATAAAGAAAATATTTATAAAGATAAATAATAATTTCAGATATGACAAGATGTGTCACATGGTACAAATCACAATTGCCTGGAACAAGTACTGAAACGGATATTAAATGGACAATAAAGGTCCGATCGGTAGCAGAATGCGCTCATCACTGTACCGTTCATACCAACTGCAGATCCATCCAATATGACAATTCAACAACAAATTGCACAATACTCTACGTATCGAATCTAACAAGTCAATATGTAAGCAGTATTCAAATGTCTCATTACAGCAAAACATTAGGTATGTATCAAATAAAATCAGCATTTTTATTAGAACATATCTAGAAAATGTTGCCTATACCTAAATGAAAAAAAACAGGTAAAATTAACTAAATTCAAAATTACATCTTTTCTATGTTTTTGTATTATTTTAAAGTCTCGCATTCTTCTCATCATAAAAAAACATTGAAAATAGTATACACTACTAGTGTGAAGACACACACTTTGTCATCATCTTTTATAAAGTATTAAAAGTATTAAACACTAAGTTGTGTCCTCTTCTCTTTTAGTCTTAAATTGTCCAAACGGATACGATCATCTGCAGGAAAGTAACACATGCGTAAAGTTATATCCTAACTATCTTACATGGAATGACAGCTTCACCGCATGCAAAAATGACGATGCAGATTTACCTGTACTAGATTCAAACATTCTATTTGATGAATTTCAAGACTACATGGATTTGCGGTCGTGTAAGTAATTGGTACTTAAAATATCGAAAACAATTTATAGCATCAATCGACTGTTTTATTAGAGCTAACGCAAATAATGTCAGCGGGCAGATATTTCACCCAGATGTGGTTGCAATCAATTATATAATGCGTCATCTAATTTTGATCACTTTTATTCATAATCGTTCAATGCGTTCATATTTTTTATTTATTCTTAGAGAGAATGCCTACAAGGCTTTTACTTATCGTCTTCCTTAAAGTATCGGCAAAGATTTATTAATACAACATCCGTGACATTCAACTTGCAGACGCCACGTTTTTCAATATAGAAAGAAATATGATGCACATTTCCATCGTAAAATATTACTTTTGACGTACAAGTGGGTACAAATGATATGTATCAATTGTTTGTTCGTCTTGCTTTTCATGGCCATAAAATTGGCTGTTTTCCTAGGCTTTATTGTCCCTTTGGTTTCTTGTCTCCTGTGATGCATAAACACTAACGATAAGAAGGCAGTAGTGTATCTGTTCGCTTGGGCTTCATTTACAATGACAACATCTCGATTGACTTCATCTAATCATTTGAACATTAAATTGACTAACCTATTTTACCATATAAGTCTGACTTTGGCATTATGTTTCAAGCTTTATCTGTATGCATACACTGAAAACCATCTTATTTTTTACAGATACTTCATTTCGCGATTAGGCCTTTCTAGTCCACTTTGCGGCGATTTAATTTCGCGATTTTCTAATTTACTTGATGTAGTTTAATAAGGAAAGATCCAAGTTTTACATATTTTCGCGATGATTTATATTCGCGTTATTTTTCTACTCGCGAAAGACGCGAAAATAAATCGCTCGCGAAAGTTAGATGGTTTACAGTATATATTTGATTCGTTCATCAAAATGTTGATGAGTTTAAATAATCGTGATCAGAGAAAGCAATGCTCAGTGATAAACAAGCAAGCTGTGTTTGCTTTTAAACTCGAAGTGCTTTTTAGAATCAATAATAATCAGAAAAGAATAACAAAGGATGTGAGATACCTATTCATGACACACAATCAGTACATGCACAGTAAAATCACACAAGAAAAGAAACAGCACCTATATAGTTGTTTTTCATCTTTTGTCACAGTTAGGCCTTCACCACGGCGCCAAAAAAGCAAAACAAAAATAAAAACAAAAATTCAAAAAACAAAAATTCACCTCACTGCAAGTTTAATAAAGGCGATAATAGTGTACCGGTGTTCAATAGTCATAAATCGATTGAGAGAAAACAAATCCGGTTCACAAACTAAAACCAAGGGAAACACATCAACCATAAGAGGAAAACAAAGGAACAACAGGAACACTGAAGTGCAACAAAAACAAACGCCAACATACATAGAAACGAACTATTTGATAACAACTGCCATATTCCTGACTTGGTACAGGACATTTTAAGAAAAAATGGTGGTTTGAACCTGGTTTTATGGCTAGCCAAACAGCCGTAACACCACCAAATCGGACCCGGTTAAAAAAGAACATACTTGAAAGTAGTACATAGGTGTAAATATCAAACTATCTAGAACATAATTTAGGAATTAAGGTATCAAATGAAAAGTGATGTACTGGCGATCCTTGTACAACACATATTGACTGATGTTTGAATAGTAGAAAAATGTATGAATAAATTAAAAAAAAAGAATGTTTATTATACCACGACGATAGCAGAAAGAAAGAGTTTTATATTGCCTAAACTACTTAGCATATGTAACATAGAACTGAATAAAATGATTCAATTATGACAACATTTAAGACAACGATTTACTCTAAACAACTTTTTGACTATCTGCTGATGTGTGTTTGCCACTTTAATTCTGTTTTAACAAATTGTTAATTGTGAATCCTATTCTAGTTGATGACAAAACTCAGTGCAACTATATTTGAATAATAAAAAAACCTTCCTACGTACATTATAAGAATTGAAGCACTAGTTACGGCTTCGTCAAATCAAATTCCAAAAGACACAAAACATTCAATCAAAACGATCAGCTTTCGGTACGTAACATTATCTTTGAAAACATTTCTTAAAACTCAAGATCCCTAACCTGCTTTATTACAAATATCAGAACAATTTCAATATTTTTTTCAAATGTTCCCATGTTGTTTGAAATGTTAGTGTTGATTTTAGCGTTATCACATCCAAATTCTAAAGGTTCAAAAACAAAGATAACCTCGCAAAATACCAGCTTAAGGTGTAAGAACGTCAGGTGAATACTGGTAGATTTAGAAAAATATATTTCTGCCGAAAACAACCTTACAACATCATTTGAATTTGTTTTAATTTTATATTAACTAATAACAGTCTGTATGTTTCTATTGCTATCGTTCATAGATCGCCAATAATTCATCTTAAAGCAACAAAACATTTAGGGGTCAAAATTCATTAATTGTATTAAACTTATACCTACAAAGGTCGTCAAATTGACTTAAAATATCGGAATGCTCGCTTTAGGTGATGTTACATTAAGTCCGACGAAGCGACACAGCGTGTCATTCATGTGCGTATTGTCTTTGACTAACATACGCATAATGTTTCTATAGTGGACGAAATAGCACTTACATGTACTACAGTTCTTATGTCATTCTTATACATCATAGTTAGTAACGAACAGTATTGTTGAGTGATACTCTTGTCAAAAACATATCGTTAGTATTTTGTCAATTTTATTTGTTCTTTAAAAACTTTGGGATTGAAGGCAAATCTAGGTTGATTATATTTACATGTTATTATTTACTCGGGAAGATTAATAACCTACAATCTAGCATATACATATTATAATCTTATCTTTAAATGAATACCGCACGCTTCCCATGATGACATAATTAAGCATACTTACCGTTTGACATTAATTGTGCATATCTTCAAACATAGCCTAGTTTAATAATTTCTTTCATCTCTGATTTTCATTGGCATTATTTTTTTTTTCAGCTGGTAGAGTTGCAGTTAATGCTAAACTATCTAACAATGTACCATACTGGGAGACTGGTGGAGAAGTTAATGCTTCAAAGTTCTGCGAGTACACTCCAGATATGCTAAACACATCAGACGTATGTTTGTTTTTGGCCCATAAATCAGAATCATGGTGCAATTCGTCTATTTACAGACTTGATGATGCTTTGTGCCAGGAATATGCATTAAGGATTTGTATGGTGAAATTATAAGAAAATAATTCAGTGGATTGTCCTTCTTAAATCCAATCATATCGATAGAAATGAATACAATTCCCTGTTTACCCAAATATCATGATACTGAAGCAATTTAAAACATTGATTTAAACTCAAATTTTATTTTATATAGTAAATTTTCTAGTATCTTGCTGACACGCCATTAGAACAATGAAAGTATATATATGGGTATTTAAAACATGCATGATGTTTTCAAACAGTTGCAAATACCTGTCGTAAAAAGTCATAAAAAGATTCTAGGATTATAATTTTGTACGCCGGACGCGCTATTTTTTAATATACGATTGATCAATAGCGCTAGAATTAAAACAATTGAAAGGCAAAAAGAGGGGTGCAATATACCACAGGGTTATACTTATAATTGCAACGAATAGCGTTCGCATATATTGATGGAATATCGAGGATACTCGATTACATGTATATGAGTACAATGTACGATAACGAAATGTTTTAAGGAGAGTTAACACTTTCGAAAATAACATGTATATCTAACAGAGCAGCCTGCTACTATCAAACTTTTTTTTATACCAAAGAAGGTTATTTTATAAATTTTGACTTGGATGGAGAGTTGTCTCATTGGTACTCATACCACATCTTCTTATATCTATATAGGGTGTTAATGCATATTTTATGAGAGACAAATTTGGACTTGACAATGCCTTAACGCTTTTCGCGACCAACTGACACATATCCGACAAACCATATTTACGTTAATATTTCATATGATCTTATCAATTGCCATCAAGATAAGTATTATTATGTCCTTTGTGTTCATTACTATGAAAAAAAATTTAATAAACTTTATTTCAAACACTTAGTTTTGTGTCTTAAGTAATCATTGAAGAAAAATTGGTACCGTTTATGTTATTGTTAAATATGACGAAGATCATCTGCGCTTATGTTACAGCTTCATTTCATCTGAATTCATTCCAAGGCAGTATTATCATAACATTATCGACTTATATTGTAGAAGCAATTAGAGTATTTGATTGGGTAATGCACATAATTGTATTTATAAATAAACAAGTGGCGGATTTACTGGGGGTCACAGTGTGCACGTGTATCCCCCACCCCCCTATACCCTCCTCCCCTACCCCAAGTCCAGGTCACCAAACAAAAATTATAACATAACTGTATTGCTACTGAATCTGCTTATCTAGATTTAAATACCATACAAGATTTTTTTTAAAAACTGAATGTCATATTTCTTTTCCCACTTATTTTAAAGAAAACCAACAATTTGTTTAAATAAAAACCTTGCCCCCGTCCCCGGTCCACAAAAAATGTCTTGGTATTTTCTAATATATAATATAGTGTTATTAACTGGCTGTTTCTGTATTGGACCTGTTATAGATTCGAGGTTAGATGTATTGGACCCGAGACGCGAAGAGTCGAGGGGCAAGACAGCTGATCGAGAATCTATAACAGGGCCAATACAGAAACATCCAGTTAATAACATTATATTATTAAATGATTTTAATTCTTCGATTAAACTAAGCAACTTACCTTGAAGTTGAAGAAGTTACAGAAATTCATATCTAATGACTAATCAGACAGAGTAATCTGAACTCGTCTTTTCGCATTCACGATGGATTTTTTGTCAACATTGTCAGATGTAATTTCTGATTGCTCGTCCAAGTACTTAATCTTATGCTATTACAATTCATTTTATCTAGCAAATATAAAGTAGCTGGGAAGAATAAATCAGACAGTTTAACTATTCTTGCTCTAGAACCGTCTGCGTTCTGATGATTGATCAACGGAAATAAAACGGTAAAAATAATCGGAAGTCGTACTCGAAAAGGCTGAGAAATAGTTCCGTTTCAAGATGTTACAAAACACTGAACATCATTTAAACTTTTTTAAGATGTTAAGTTCAAAAATATGAATACAAATGTATTTTATGCATAACGATACGTCCAAAGTTAACTATTAAGTAAGCTTAGGCGTAAAAAAAAGCTTTTCCCGTATTGGCCCCCGTATTGGCCCTGTCCGAAAACCAAAATTAACTCCGCATTTATATCGACAGGACAACGTCACCAGTATTGCACAGGCTGATTTAACCGTATTAGGGCTGATTTTCTCATATCATTTATTAATTATTAATAAAATGCTGTTGTATTTTTATAAGACCTTCTTTATAACATAATCTGGGACTAATATATTTATCTAATAGCCCAAGCATATGTATATTTGTCTTTTTTCAATTACCATGTACATGCAAGAGGCTATGAATGGGTCACCATTTATAAGGATATGAATGGGGTTTACAGATATGAGAATTATGAGCAAAAAAGTTAGATTAGGAGTGGGACCAAACAATAGCAATAACAGAATAAAGAGGTGATGAAATATAAATAAAAGCTTGATTGATTATTGTTTTTTAATGTCTAGTGGCAAATATTTTATGCATTATTTGGACGAATTTAATAGAGATCAATTGGCAGAAGAATAGAGAATAAAGTGAAATGGTAAAACATTAAAAGATATTGAAATATAGAAACGATGATCTGAACCCCCTAATTCTTAAAAGTGTTGCCAAATACAGCTAAGGTAATCTATTCCTGAGGAGGTATAACAAAATCATGTTAACTAACTGCAATAAAAAAAACTCTTTTAATATTCAAAGTTATATTGTTTGTATCATGCATTTTTGTTTTTTTTGGGGTTTTTTTTGGGGGTTTTTTTGTTTGTTTTTTTTTGTTTGTTTTTTTTTGTTTTTGTTTTGCCAACTTCATGAGTAAAGCCATTTTCAGTTGATTTTGACAGTACGTTTTTTAAATGTTTTACTGTAACACCTGTGTCTTAGGTAAGGTTCATGGTTGATTATGCACAAAACATACCATACGGTGACTTATAATTGCTGACTACTACTTCATTTTAACTCAGTTGGATAGCTGTCTCATTGGAAATCAGACCACATCTCCTCAATTTAATATTGATCCTATTAAATGTAAAAGCTGCATGTTTCAAATCTGATTTCTTGGAAATCATTGATTGCTATCATATTTATTTTTCGTTGATTATTTTAGAATAAATCAGGACTTTGGTATTCAATTTTGACTTGTTTAACAGCTTGTCGGTAGGCTTTTCGATTCATTGCCAACTATACGCTATAGGTTTTGACCTATAGTGATCTATAGAACCCCATCCACGTTACTGTTGGATAGAAAACTGTTATTTTATTGGGAATCATAACACATCTCCTTATTTTTTTATGGGATTACATATTGTATTGTATGGATAAACAAAATCATACTATCTGTCTTTCTTCTTTGCAAGCACTGTCTTAAATTGTATTGTAGACGTGAAATGCTATTGTTATGTTGCTTAAAGTCGAACAAAGCTAAATAGAACTTGCTATTAACCTGTATATGTATCCTTGTTTTTGTTTTGCTCTAAAATTGTCTAACGCATATTGAAAATTGATAATAAATTACAAATACCGATCTGATTTTGTTTGAAGCAACTTTCTGTCCAATCGATTATCTCTATATTTGGTTATACAGGTAGATAGAATAAATGACCAAAATATTAAAAGAGAAAGACTTGATGTGCGAGAGAGTCAATAAAAATTATATCAATAAACAGACAAAACACTACCAAAATAAAAACGATGGAAATACAAACAACAGTCCACAAAATTACAGACAAAACTTAGGGTTGCGCATCACTAAAACCACCAAAAACTGAAAGTAAACTCAGGTGGTCAACTAGTGACTCGTACAATGTTACTGATAATATGGAACAATATTGGTGATGTCCAAAACTAATTTCCTCATTTTTTACATTTCACGTTTGACACAAACCCAACTTAATATTCAATATGAAATTTAAACAATACATGCTCCGTGTTGAAGGCCGTACGTTGACCTATAATTTTTTACTTTTTATACATTGTGACTTTGATGGAGAGTTGTCTCATTGGCACTCATACCACATCTTCTTATTTATATTATATATCTAACAACAAAACAGAAAAAAAGTTATTTTATCATATGTGATAATAAGCGAAGAAACTGCATAAAGTGCTAAATTGAATCTATGGTTTACTGTCAATAAATTCCTTAGATGTTGTGTCAATGTCTCATTTACTAGCGAAATGTTTTCGAGGTCTGGTATCTTTGGATATCATTATATTCTTAACTAATGTGTCTAATACATCTTTTAAAATAATAAGAAATTACAAACATATACCTCGTGGATAATAGTTCCATGAAAACTAATCAGAAGTAACCCTTACAGAGGCGTTTTAAAATATGTTTCTGCGTGACAAACCAATAGTACATTGTTTCCAGTTGAAAGTGAAAGTAAACCACGATTAGGTCTTACAGGGTAAACAGCTTATTATTATTTGTGTATGATACTGTGGATTCGTTAAGATTCGAGGCATACCAATTTCTGTTGAATTCAGGGGTAAAGGTGAACAACGAATTTAAGTATTAAACAATTACAAATTTTCTATAGAATTGTTTTCAGACTTTGATAAAACCACAAAATCAAATATCCATGAAAATACATTTTTTCCTTAATCAACAGCAATTGATACCAACTAAATTAAATGAATACACAATATATGAATATGAGTTTTAATTAAGGTTCATTTTACCTTTTATTGCGACCATGGAATACCAAAGTCAATATCTGTGTCAAGTGACCAAGAGATGCCATTTTCAATATGTTATGTTAAACGTAAGCCCTTTTTAACTAAAGTTTGTTCTTATGTCCAGTAAGTGGGAGGGTTTGAAGCCAACAAACATGCTTTACTCGCCATATTCTGTATGTGCCTGTTCCAAATCAAGAGCCTGCTATTCATTGGTTGCCCTTTGTTGCTGTATATCATAGAAATAGGAAGATGTTGTATGAGTGCCAATGAGGCAACTCTTCATCCAAGACACAATGTTTTTCGTTTATTGCTTTTATATAAATCAGCTGTTACTTTTCTCGTCTGAATTGTTTTACTTTCATCATTTCGTCTATTATAGCTTGCTATCGGGTATGGGTTTTGCTCATTGTTGAAGGCTGTGCGATGGCATATAGTTAATGGTTAATGTTTATGTAATTTGGTTTGTGGTGGAGAGTTATCTCATTGACAATCATACCACATCTTCGTATTTTTATATAAGCTGTCAAATTCATGTTTACCGATTCGATCCAAATTTTCATTTTTGGTTAATGAAACGTATATTCAAATTACAAAAGGTCCAAAATACACAATTAACAATGCATGAACTCCTAACAATATATTAACTGACAACGCGTATTTTCGAAAATACGCCATTTAATTACCCATCAAGATGACCTCGGAAGTCTGGCGGTGATGAATCCCGATATTCGCATATCAAACGAAAATATAAATACATAAAGGCAACAGTAGTATACCGCTGTTCATAAGTCATAAATCAATTAAGAGAAAACAAATCCGGGTTACAAACTAAAACCGAGGGAAACACATAAACTATAAGAGGAAAACAACGGAACAACAGAAACACTGAACTGCAACAAAAACAAACGCCAACATACATAGAAACGTACTATTTGATAACAACTGCCATATTACTGACTTGGTACAGGACATTTTAAGAAAAAATGGTGTGTTGAACCTGGTTTTATGGATAGCCAAACCTCCCGCTTATATGGCAATTTTAAAAAATATCGCTAAAATGACAACACTACGTGACAGGAATACAATGCAAACAAAAGCAAAATGCATGCATAAATAATATAATACTAATAGCACATTACAACATGTAAACCGCAGAATAACAACGGACATCTCACATTAACGACAGCACAGGACACAACAAACAGTG